GGCCCATCCTAAAAGTTGGAGAGGGCACCAAAGAATTTCCACTTTACCCCAGCAATTTAGAAACCTTCCTTCTGGTATCAAAGGATAGCCGAGAGGAGCTGGGAGCAAGGGGCCTCTGTGCCTGCGGACACAGAGCAAAAGCTGAACGGCACTTGAGCAGGTGGCATATACTTGTAGGTGATATGCTGGCAGAGGAGAGCGGTTAATGGGCTGCAACATTAGGAGAGAACTGGGGGAGAGGTAGGACCCACAGACTGAGCAGCGCATCTGTTCAGAGGAGGGCTGCATAAGGAGAGGACCCAGGACCAGCCTCCCCACTCCACATTTGGCCCAGGTCCCCCCTACTTCAGCTTCTATCGTGGGCAGTACTTTGGAGACTTGTAGGGGTGGGTACATTATATATTTACATAGGTAAATCACATATATGAAATACTCTACATATAATGCATATATACTAGAGTATATGTGCTTTTATATTATATATTATATTATGTATCTTTTTATATGCTATTATGTAATAATAGTATATAATGAAACTATATCATAATTACTATATTATCTACAATAATAAAAGCATAATAAGCTAATTAGACTGGATGGCCAAAATCCAGGGCTGAGGGCAGGCATCCATGGTGGCTGGCAGCAGTTGGCAGCAGCTGACAGAAGCAGCATTTTATATATACATGTGTGCAATATAATAAAATATACATATGTATTTATATATGTATGTTTTAATACATGTATATAGCCCTAGCCGGTTTAGCTCTGTGGATAGAGCGTCGGCCTGCGGACTGAAGGGTCCCAGGTTTAATTCCGGTCAAGGGCATGTACCTTGGTTGTGGGCACATCCCCAGTAGGAGGTGTGCAGGAGGCAGATGATCAATGTACCTCTCTGATTGATGTTTCTAACTCTATCTCTCGCCCTTCCTCTCTCAATAAAATATGTTTTAAAAAAATACATGTGTATATGTATGTATTATATGATTTTAACAGATACAAATATTGTACATATACACATTTAATAAATACTGTATATATACTAATATATCTGTAATACATGTACCTATATATATCCCTGGAAAAGAACAGAGATCTGATATTGGACTTTATTTTAAAAAGCAGAACAATTATGTTTTGAACTGAAATAATATGTTATTTCAGATTAGGAAAGCTCCTTACTTAAAAGCCTATATATTTATGCACTCTGAATAATGAATAGATGCAGTCTGAAAAGCTGTAAATTAGAGCTAATAATTTCTGAAATTTGAGAGGAAGCTGAGAGTTCTCAGTGAGATATTAGTTCAGAAGACTAGTTCTCTGGCTGTTTTATACCCAACGTAAAGTGAGTGTAGAGTAGGGTTTCTCAGATGCAGGACCATCAGACGTTCAGCAGTATCCCTGGCCTCCACCCCCTGCATTCCGCTAGTACCTCCAAGTTGTGATGGCCAGAGTGTCTCCGAAATTGCTCAGTGTCCCCTGGGGCAAAATCACCCCCAGTTGTGGTTCTCAGCTTTCCATGACCAGAGCCTGCGTTTTAATGTATTTATTGGTGCAGCCAGAGAAAACTGGTTTTCTGGAATTAAATTCACCGGAGACTGGCATTTACTTCAGCATTTCATTTCATTAATGTCTAGAGTAGGGGTGTCGAACTCAATCAGAGAAGGGGCCAAAATCTAAAATCCAGCCTAAATCGCGGGCCGAATGGTTTACTGAACAGTCATAAACTGTCATTGCGATGGAAACGCAGCGGAGTGCAGTGATGACAGCGCGGTGCGGGCCACATTGCAAGGCCTGGCGGGACGGATTTGGCCCGAGGGCCTTGTGTTTGACACATGTGGTCTAGAGGGAAATATTGCTTTTACTCACACCAGACTCATTATTGCTGTCTAAAGGACCCCCCCCCCTCCCCTTTCCTGGTAACAAGATTATTGAAGGTTAAATTGGTAATAAACAAATAGCTTGGCAAACCTGGGATTGAAATACACAACTTTTTGAGTGATATTTTATTCACGTTATTATGGTATCTAATGAAATCACTACACTCCATTTTAGAGTATTTTGTTGCTAAATAACATACAACAGATTGTGTTCATGCTAAAAAAAAAAAATAATGCCATGTAACATCACTCAGACCAACAACTGCAATGTCACCAAACATCAGGAGCCCACCTATCAGCACCCCATCTATTTCCCATATCACAGGTCCCTCTCCTCACAAATGGAATAAACACCTTTCTCTTATTTTAATCCCATTCTTTTTTAGTTAAAAATAGGACAGGATTCATCCTCAGTTTGTAGTGCCAAAACAAATGAGCAATAAATATATGTCTTCTAGAGGGATAGATTGCAGTAGAGGCATTTTACATCCAAAACATTTATTTGAATCTGCATAATTGATTGCGAATTTCAGTTAAATACCTTTGTATCATTCTGACTCGAATACTAATAATAATTCAAAAATAACTGTACTTCTGGTCAACACACACACGTGTACCCTCCCCCGGATATAAATAATGCATTCATTTGTGTGTGCAAACACCCAGGTTTTAGTTTTCACAGTGTACTTAGGCATTTTGCTTGTGACTGGGCACAATCAGAATTTCCTCCAGTACTCCCCGGATTGTATGTCTTTTAATGTCTGCACTCCTTAATACTTGAATTACAACTAGATTGACAGTGTCAGCTATTTCAGCCAATCAATAGACATGCAGGAACTGTGGGCCAGTTATCAAATCTGTCTTAAAAGTTAGCTAAAGAATTTAAGGTGTGAAAGAAGAAAAATTTAACTTCAAATGAAAATGAGACGAGCTTAAAAAATAAAATGCTGTCTTAGGCAAATTCTTGTGAAAGGCATTTAATTGTTAAGTTGGTAGATTTTTATTTATCTTGCCCTAACCAGTTTGGTTCAGTGGATAGAGCATCAGCCTGTGGTCTGAGGAGGTTCCATTTAGGTCAAGGGCATTTATCTTGGTTTTGGGCACATCCCCAGTAGGGGGCATGCAGAAGGCAGCTAATCAATGTTTCTCTCTCATGGATGTTTTTAACTCTTTATCCTTTTCCCTTCTTCTCTGTAAAAAATTAATAAAATATATTTAAAAAATAGACAGTTTTCTAAAAAAAATTTTACTTATCAGTTATACTTCCTTATAATGTGATTTCTTATGATACTATTCTTATTTTTTTCCTGTCTCTTTGTATCTTATTTTTAAATTTTGTATGTGATACACATAAAAGGATAGGTAATAGACATGCGCATACCTTCCTATGTATTCTTTTAGCATATTTATTTATACATATAGCCTTATAACCACTATCCTAAATTTTATGCTGCTCAGTTATTTACACTTTTTTTACTTTTAAGTTTTTAAAATATTTTGTTGAATTTATTAGAGTTACATTGGTTAATACAATTATGTGGGTTTCAAGTAGTGTACAATTCTATAATATATCATCTGTATATTGTATTGTGTTTACCAACCCAAGTCTCATTAATAATTTTTAAAAAAATCATATATGTCCCCAAACAGATGTTACTTAGCTTTGCTAGTTTTTAACATTCTCAAAATGATGAAACATGTTACATGGTCTTCTATAACTTAATTTTTTTCACTGAAAATTTTGTTTCTAAGGTCCATCCTTTTTCTTTTTTGGTGTGTGTGGATATTGGTATAGTTCCTTTTTACTGTTGTATGCTATTCCATTATGAACAGTACTAAGTTTATTGATCTGTTCTTTAGTATTTGGATGTTTGGATTGTTAACTATTTTTTGCTATGATGTGCAATGTTGCTGGAAATTGCACATGTCTCTTGGTGTACAAATGCAAGTTTCTCTAGGTCAGTGGTCAGCAAACTCTTTAGTCAACAAAGCCAAATATCAACAGTATAATGATTGAAATTTCTTTTGAGATCCAATTTGTTTAAACTTATATAGGTAGGTACATTGTTATTAACTTAATTAGGATACTCCTAAACTGGCCATTGCTAAAAACTCAAGAGGCCAAAGAGCCGCATGTGGTTTGAGAGCTGCAGTTTGCCGACCACGGATCTCGGTCACTGCTTCTCAACCTCTTTCTTTTCATGGAATACAGGAAACACTTGTTTTTGTGTTGTGTCCTGAGTAAGATCTCAAAGTGCCTTAAGAGCAGTGATTCATCGTAGGGACACTCTCTCAGGGAGGACCTGTCAGTGGAATTGGTGGAACGTGGGGTATGGAAGGTCGAAGTTGACATATGGTTTTTTTAAAGTAGTTGCTCAAATTTGCAATCCCACTAGCAGTCCTTCGAGCTTCTCTTAGCCCACACTGTCTGGATGATCTGGTGTTGTCAGACTTCTGGAATCTTGCTTATCTAACATCTGTGAAATAGTATCTAATTGTGATCTTGATTTATACTTCTTTTTTTCTGATGAGTTTGAAAATCAGTTTACTGGTATATTGCTTCAGTTTGGTGACCTCTCTGGTTTCATCGTGTGCCATTTTTTTCCCCTAATGTGTTTTCTAATGGATTTAAAGGTAGTTTTTATTTTTTGTTTGTTTTGTTTTGTTTTCCTTAATTTGGAATACAAATTGTATACTGTTTTGCAAGTATTTTCTATATGTTGGTATATTTCTTTTCATTTTACATAACTTTTAGCCATCATAAGTTCTTAATTTTTGTGTAGCTAAATTTAGAAATCTTTCCTTAATGTTTATAAATTAGATATACTGATTGGGTATTTTTGTTTCTTGTTTAAGTAAAACTTTTCTACTTGAAGGTATATTATTTTGTCATTTCTATGACGTTTGCCTTCTCCTTTTTCATATTCTCTTGTCTTTACATTTTTTTTTTTTCTTATTGAACTTAATAGACCTGCAGGAGAAGACTGTATATAAGCAGTGGGCATATTGTTAGAGATTCTAGTTTTTCTTAATTTTATCTGCTTTGTTTGTTTCTCTTACCTGTTGAAGCCACGAAAGCTGTCAGCACTGTGCTAATCTAGACGGACTTTTCCCTCTTGACAGATGACTGTGATGAGCCTCTGGTGCCCGCGCTGTCTCAGGCCTCGTTCAGCAGTTCATCTGAGCTCTCCAGCAGCCACGGTCCTGGATTTGCAAGGCTAAACCGAAGAGATGGTAAGTTTGTTGCTTTTTCTTCCCCTCTGAGGATCGTGATGCATCGCATTAATTTTCCATTCTCTTTTAGTAAAACCATTATAAGTGATATGTTGTAAATGGAGGTACATTTCTAAATAAACAAGTGGTAGAAACTCATGTGTTGTACATGACGTATAGAATTGGCTCTGGAATGGCAGAGGGATGCATCCCATATTAATCTCGTCTGATCATTCAGCACCTGAAGAGTTGAAGTCCTTCAATCTGGCAAGCTTTTTTATATATCCTATAAAATAAACTTTTCTACAACAGTACAGATGGTCTTTGACTTGCAATTGCTTGACTTAGGATTTTCTTTTTACTTTATGTGATGCGAAAGCAGTACACACTGATCATTTCCTGAGCTAGTGATAATGTGGTACCACACTCTCAAGTGATGATGGGTGGCGGCTGTGAGCCGTAGCTCCTAGTCAGGCACATGATCACAAGCGTATACAATCGATACTCTGTAGTGTACTATGTCCCAGCCTTTTCTGGATATTGTGTTCTGAGCATGTTTAAGGTAGGCTAAGCTAAACTATGTGTTCAGTAGATTAAGTATGTTAAATGCATTTTTGACATACGATCTTTTCAACTTACGATGGGTTCAATGGGAGGTAACCCTGTTGTAAGTCAAGGAACATCTTTCTACGATCCTTATGTATGCAGTAGCCATCAAAATTTTATTGGCCCTCTGTTTCAAGATAAGCAAGGACGTTTACAAAAAGAAGTACTTTTTAATTTTTAATTAAAAATATATTTTATTGATTTTTTACAGAGAGGAAGGGAGAGAGCTAGAAATATCGATGAGAGAGAAACATCGACCAGCTGCCTCTTGCACACCCCCTACTGGGGATGTGCCCACAACCAAGGTACATGCCCTTGACTGGAATTGAACCTGGGACCTTTCAGTCCCCAGGTCGACGCTCTATCCACTGAGCCAAACTGGTTTCGGCAAAAGAAGTACTTTTAAAAGTTACTAGTTATCTTAGAATAATAAACTCTCAGTGTGTTTCCTTCTCAATGTGGCTGACGTGATTTGCTCTCCTGTTGAGGAATGGGAACTTAAATAGTTTTCATGCTCCTGTAGGAACACTCAGCTCATATTGTTAACTGTTAGGTTGTGTTTAATTGCTTGAATTCGCTTAAGGAAAGTGCATATAATTCATTGGCAACTTGCTATAGAAATAAGAGAGAGAATTTCAAAAGTCTGCACTTGGGGACAGAATATTATCATGGTCCCTTTTCATAATCTGCTAAGGCAAAAGCCATTTGTGCATGTATTCTATGGTGAAACTAACACAGAAAACATTTTTAATAGCCATAAAGCAGTACACACTGACATCATATATTATTAAAACCAAGATTTGCTCATTTATTATCCCCTTCTAGCATGCCATATGTCAGCCACCTCTTCTAATTTTACTGCTTGATGTTATTCTTGGTCTGTTGTTTAATGTTTGAGTACACTGAACATTAGGCATGGCAAGTAGATCATGTGTGTATGTCTGTCTGTGTATGTGTGTTTTGTCATCTGGTACACATTATAAACACCTAATAATTTAGCATGATTTTAAATTTAAGTTTTTTTTAAATTTTATCTCATATTATTTGAGACAATCACTAATGTGTTTCTTTTATATTGACATAACTATGTGCATTTCTGAGTGTGAGAGTCTCATTAAGAGTAATCACTGAGATCCTTGTAGCATGGGGAATTGGGAGGGCCTTGAATATTTTTGTGTTAACTTTTTACCTTTATTTGTCTTGTAGTGAGAGTTATTGATCACATTGGAGTATCTTTCTCTATTTACTATTCTGAATCCCTTATTGATCACAGGCAAGTAGGCTCTCCTGGACCCTCTGAGGGCCCGTTCTGACCTTGTACCCAGGGTCCTCCCAGTGAGAATGCTGCCATCACAGCATTGCTCTGGGTTGAGGTCCATCTCATGCTCCTTTAAAATAGAGCAGAGTTTAACATTTGCCACCACTCTATTTAAGTAATAAAAGCTTTCATAGGATTTGGCTCTTGGAAAGAGATACAAACTTTAATTTGACTATTTTTTATTTCATTTGTTGAGGTTCAATAAATCACAAAAAGTATATGTAAGTTATTAATTGGATAAAATTATATTTTTCATTAATTCACATACTCATCAGAAACCTCCATCAGAGGGATTCATTTTCATTCTTAATTCGTTTCTATGGCTCTTGGTGAAACACAATATCAAACTTCATGAATCTCATTTGCATGTTAATGAAACAGAGAAACAAAACAGGCTCATTTTAATTATCTTTTGCTGGTTGTCAACCTACTTGATTACATTTTTCTTTTACATTTAGTTTTTCTTTTCCCCCCTCATAATTACATGAAGCGTTCACAAAGGAACGTCAGATTTTGAGTGATTTATTAAAGGCTATATATTATTCCTAGTATGGCAACATTCCTTGTAGTGTTTAGATCAGGCTATGGGAGGGTATTCAGCCATGTATTCAGTAAACTGAATCAGCAACTAAAGTCCCCAGTGTCCTACAAGCACAGGTAGGATGACCTCTTTCCTATGGAATCTGGAAAACTTAAGAGCTAAAGGTTGCCTGGCAAGAAGTGAGAAACCAAGTTCAATAGCCCACTGCCTTCCCTCTGTGCAGTAGAAACTATGAAAATGATTAGATACTCTAAGGGGGGAACTGAGTCAGGAAAAGGCTTCATGTTCTTATTTAGGCCAGCAGGGAAGAAGAAAAAGGAATCTTTTTTCTTTTAAGGTATATTAATTTAATTTTTTTACTTGAGCGCCAGTGTGGGTTGAATTGTGTCCTTGAAAGGAAACTTTCACTTCTTGACTTGATCCCTATAAATGTGATTTTATTTGCACATAGGGTCTTTGCAGATATGAGTTAAGGTTATATTGGGTTAGAGTGGGCTATTAGTAAGGCCTTATCATAAAAAGGAGAATTGGAGAAATGCAAGGACAGAAAAGACAGATGAAGGCGAGGTGAAGACAGAAGCAGAAATTGGAATGAGAGAGCTACAAACCAAAAAAAGTGTCATGTGTTGCATACAACTACGGGAGGCAAGGAAGAGGCAAGGAAGGATTCTTCTCTAAGGCCTGCTGAGAGAGATGAACCTGCTGACACCCTGACTTTGGACTTAATAGCCTCCAAAACTGTCTGAGAAAATAAATCTGTTCTTTTAAGCTGCCCAGTTAGTATACTGTGTTCCTGCAGCCCTGAGAAACTAGTACAGGTGCCAGTGAGTAAATAACTTCTTTCCCTACTCTCTTTGCTCTGGGAAGATGCATCTCAATTTGAACCTGGCAGACTCCATGGCTCAGAGAATTATAATCCAAACTTAACTGTAAACAACACATCAAAAAACAATCACTGCTACTCCTGGCTATATAATGGAATTAAATCTCCCTCTGCCTTTGTAGTAGTAGTTTCAGTATTGCTTGAAATATAATGGACAACTTACATTTTTACTATTTTCAATGTAGAATTCAAACAGGTTCTAGTGCACCATTTGCTAGTCTATCAAATGTGTACTCTTAGGACAGCATTTAAAGAAGCCATATATGTAGAACTGCTCCTGGGGTTGCAAAATAATCCCAATTGGAAATCTTGGAAATGGGTTAATGCAATGTGATATACTTGTGTATACAAGTAAAATAATAAAGCAGTACATAAGATAAAAAATAACATATTTATATATGTGTGCATATAAACAAATAATATGTATATGTGTTAAAGTATAAAACAGATTGCTTCCATAACTGAGAAATACAGGGATACTATGCTTTATTGCACTTCACAGATGTTGGGTTTTTCACAAATTGAAGGCAAGGCCTCCACTAGCAAGAAGATTACAACTCTGTTATTGTGACACTCACTTTATGTGGTGGTGTGGAACTGAACCCTTAATATCTCTGAGCTATCCCTGTTTTCTCTCATCTACTCTGTAAGATCAAAATATTCACAGTGTCACAAAAAAGTTGAATATTTGTCTGTATTTTCCCATCATCTATTTTTTTAACCACAGCTAAACCCATCTACTCTAAATGCTTGTGAAACAATGCTGTTCCAGGCATATAAAATCTGCTGTTATAATCAAGAATCTATTTATAGCAAAATTAGCATATATAGTTAATTAACACAGAGAACTCTCATTCTTGGATATATTTCTAATGTGAATAATTATAACATCCTATGAAGAAATATTTGGCGATTTTTTTCTGCCCCTAATCATTGCACTTGTTTGCATACAACTACTATGCTTACATTAAAATCCCAAAGATAAATTCCCAAGATATGCAAGATGCATATCAGTGCTTCAGAGAACAGATGAGGTGAATGTTTCATGCTGTCAAACATATTGCATGAAATCTTTTATAATTATTACATTAAAAAAATAATAACATTAGTGTTTTGGGTTTCTTCAGATACATTCCAAGAAGTATTGTAGAATCTCTTTGTCATAAAGCAGTTCCATTTTTTATTTTTTGAGTCAATTCCATACCGTTTTCCGTGTGGCTACACCAATCTGCATTCCCACAACAGTGCATGAGGGTTTTCTTTTCTTCACATCCTTGTCAGCACTTGTTTGTTGATTTATTGAAGACTAGAGGCTCGGTCACGAATTTCATGCATGGGAGGGTGTCCCTCAGCCCAGGATGCACCCTCTGCAATCTGGGACCCCTCAAGGGATGTCTGACTGCCCGTTTCACAGTCCAGGACTGCTGGCTCCCAACTGCTCACCTGCCTGCTTTCCTGTTTGCCTCTAACCGCTTTTGCCTGCCAGCCTAATCACCCCTAACCACTCTCCTACAAGCCTTATTAATGCCTAACTGCTTCCCTGCCAGCCTGTTTGCCCCTAACTGCCCTCCCCAGCAAGCCTGGTCACCCCTAACTGCCCTCTCCTTCAGGCCTGGTCCCCCCCAACTTCTCTCCCCGGCAGGCCTGGGTCCTCCCCACTGCCCTTCCCTGCA